TCTGCGGGGGTTCTCTCCCAGCCTGGGTTTGCTGGGGAGTGATTGCTTCCGGCAGGAGTTTGGCCTCTTTGAGCCAAAAATGCAATAGCAAGAAAATATCCCGGGATTCTTCAGGGACCCCAGAGGAAGCAGCTAATGGATGAGACCTTCCCACTCTCATTGCAGCCTGACAGAAAAGGCTCTGGGGTTTAAGTCCCATCTCAGGAGAACTCTGTCATCGGAATCCATTTCTGTGGCTCCTAATGCCACACAACAGTGGAAGTGACAAGAAGCCTCAGACACAGGACAAAAGGAATCAAAGAATACTAACTTCTCCCTGAGGGAAAGAAGACAACAGGAAAGACTAGGATTCACTACAGAAGTTTGAACAAACAATCTCTACTAACGGAGACTGTAGATTTACAATGCTCTCCGTTTCTTCTGCAAACCGCGACACTGCCCTTCACATCGTCCCGGATGCTCGAGATGAATAGGCTACCGTGTAGAATGTTCATTAGACCATTTATCTGCTTATCAGGAAGTCGGCACTGTTTGTATCCAGACTGGTTTATGCCAGTTACATGTGTTAGTGTAATGATGTAATGCAGTTACTCTGTAAACCAATAAAATATAAGTGCAACAAGAAAGTTATTCTTGCTAAGCAAACTAACTGGACTGCTTTGGAAAGACTTGAGACTCTGATTTCCTTAAAAATGCCGTGTAGTGAGGACCTCTGGGACAAATGTAAGTGGCTGGAATACGTAACAAAAATCTAGAAAGATCCTACAGCCGGGTTACTTCCCAGACATCAAAGTTCTTATCAATGTTAAATAAAGATGGAATTTATAGATGTTCTATTATAGGAGAGGTTTGTGCAAGTAAAAGGACAACCTCTCCTCAGAGAAAGATCGTGGCCCTCTATCAAGACATTAGCAAATCAATATATATGTGTATCTTCTAAATTAAAATAAAATGTATCTTTTTAATGGCTGTTCCTTTCTTCAACCAACTTTTCCAATTGGCTAATCAACACATGGGTTGTCCCCACTGCACTGGATAGGATAGGAGAACATCCATTGGATACTGAAATCTGTCCTTTTTCATACATTTTCTACCCTTTTTTCCTAAAATTGAACAGCTACTTTATGCCCATACGGTGTTACTGAAGAGTTAGATTTCCCACGAGCTACAATCTCAGAGTTGTTCCTCAAAGAGACAGTGAAAGCAAGGTGGGGGAGGGGGGCTTCGACTAATCAAAATATGTTTGGGGAAAGCTTCGAACCATGCCCCCTCTTGCAAATTCACAATGCCCCTAGTACACTGAGAATCAAGAACTGAGCTAAACTTTGTATAACCCAGATTTTCCCAACCTCCTTTACCCCATCTTGGGAGCAACACCTATAACATCCTATAAAGGTACACACTTTGGGAATCAAATCTTTAGGGTCCACGTAAGAGGTATAACGTATGATCCCTTTTCTGGAGCAATTTACAATTGAGTCAGAGATATGCGACATGTACGTTTGACACAGACATATATACGCAGAACAGGTAAGTAACAGTGTTCGGCAGGATGTTTTTTAGGTTTAAATGATGGTAAAAATCAGTAGATGTTATAGATCGGAACAACAGGTCAGGCATCCACCTCTAATTTTCACAAATTGTGGGCCTTGGTCTCAAAAACTTGCTCTTAGTCCACGGTTCTAGATAGTTCAAAGAGGATTCACATTTCTTAAATGTGCCTATGTACCAGGTTTGGCTCTTTATATAAGTTATCTCATTTAATTTTGTAAGCGTGGGAAATGGGTATTATCTTTTTTTTTTTTTTTTAAGATTTTATTTATTTATTTGACAGAGAGAGACACAGCGAGAGAGGGAACACAAGCAGGGGGAGTGGGAGAGGGATAAGCAGGCTCCCTGCTGAGCAGGGAGCCCGATGCAGGGCTCGATCCCAGGATCCTGGGATCATGGCCTGAGCCGAAGTGTGAGCCTAAGCTCACACTTAACGATTGAGCCACCCAGGTGCTACCGGGTATTATCTTTTTTCAAAGAAATCGACTCCGAGAGATTGCACAGCTGGTGGCAGGACCTCAATTCGTACCCCTGTCTGTCTGGCTTCGAAGCCTGCCTTCTTTTTGCTGTGCCCTTGTTACCCAGTCTTTATAGCCTCTCCTGAGCTGGGGTTTGGGGGCCTGTGCACCCACTGATATCTGGGTAGCCAGACTGATCCATGGCCAAGCCTGGACCTGCAGAGGACCCCTGTGCCAGGCTGTGTCCCTAGAGCCTGGACTTCTCCCCATCCCCTTCCTTCCCCAGTCCAGAAGTTCTGAGTTGTGACTTTTTTTTTTTTAAGGCCTGGGGGTCACTCCCTTGACCTCTCCTGATGGCCACTGTGAGGAAGGCATTAAGCGGGGGAGGAGTTTGCCAATGTTAAGTGCTTTATTAATAGTATCCGCACTGAGTGCACTCTGAGCTGAAGAGGGTCCAGGGGTGGGAGGGTGTGGGCAGAAAGTCTTACTCATGCTTTTCAGCAAGCCCTCTCCGTGGTTCCCGGTCTCTTTTGTGGAGCTGATCTGGGTCCTTCCTTCTCTTCTGCTTTGTGCTCAGCGACTTCCCCCTCTCTCTTCTCCACCTCTACCTTCCTCTGCCATCCCCTGTCCAGGAGGCAGTGGCCACAGAGTGGAAGGAAACGACCCTAAGCTATAGAGGGGTGCTCAGCAGGGAGGGGGCAAGAGGGCAGCCTGTGAACTGAAGTCTGAGGTCAGAGGGCAGACACAGCCAGGAGCGGCTGATAGGATGACCCTCCAGTCTCAGGCTCAGACTTATGTCAGGGGCAACATGCAAGTGGGGAGTGGCAGGTAGCTGAGGCAGGAGCCCTGGCACAGTGCGGGGTGCTGGCCTGGGGGCCTGGGCTCGTGGGCGGGGGAACTGGTCTGGCAGACTCTTCTCCCTCCTAGCCTTTTCTCCCCCTCAGAGGTGAGGCTGTGGGTGTGTTCACATCAGTCGTCAAAAATGCATGGCGTGGGGGAGGTGGGGCAGGAAGGACAGGGCACTAACATTGATTAAACACCTCAGTGTGCCAGGGTCTTGGCAATTGCTGCATTGCTTCCTGGTTCTCTTCATAAGAGGTGAGTGTGTCCAGGTTACAGAGTCAGAGGTAAAGTCTAGACCTGAGCTCAGGTTTGGCCACTGCAGGAGCCCATGAGCTTTCTACCACACCTGCAGCCTGTGGTTACACATCACCGTGCTGCAGTGGGTGGAGCCAGCTCTGGACCCATGGAGGGCGCGGCGGGGAGAGGAGTGCCTGTCCCCATCTTGGGTGTGATGGGCCAGCGCACACAAGATCCTTCCCCAGGGAGCCCCTCTTCCCACGGCTGGGCTGGGAGCTGTAGCAGGGACACCGGGCTCGCAGGGCCACTGGGGCTCTCTGGCGGTGTGGAAAACCAGAACAGGCAGGAGGTCTGGCATCCCTGCCCCCATCTTCAGCCACTGATTCAGAGCTGCTCCCAAGAGGCCTGAGGATGGACCTGGCCCTGGCTCCCGGGCTTCATCACTAGGCTCTCAGAGTCTCTCCGACCTCTTCCCCTCACCTTGACCCTCGGCCTTCCAGCCCCCTCTCTCCAAATTAGGTTCCTGGTTGTTCTCTAGGTGGTGCTTTCAAAGTGTGCTTCCTTAGCAAAGCCCTGGGGCAGCCCCAAGACCCTGGGGGGGTGGACATATTGGGGGCGGAGAGGCAGAGCCCCAGCCCCACATCGGTCACCACAGAGCAAGTCTTCCTGTTCATTGGGTGTGCGGGCCCAGCGCTTCTGGGCCAGAGTCCCTAAGATACCCGTATGGGAGAACCACAGCCCAGGCTCAGGCTCCGTGGCTTCTGGAGGTACTCCCATTTCAAATAAAGGGTTGTTGATTGCCAACTGATTAATTCCCATGATCCATTTGATTTCTATCCCCTCTGAAGAAAGAGTTTCCCTTACTCCTGGTTCTTCCTCACAGGCCAAGACAAGACAGTCCCTTGGTATTTGTTCGTATGGGTCTATCTTGGTACTGCCATGCCAGGCCAAGACCTCACAGACTGCGGGAAGCCTGCTGGTGCTTCCAGAATCTACCTCCCACCCTGGATACACACACACACACACACATGCGCGCGCGTGCACGCACATGCACACACACCCTTCACAATCGGCCCAGACATGGCCATTGGCCTTCATTTACTGCTACAACTCTTGGATGATGCTAGGGGATTATAGTTTTGAATTCATTCCTGACATTCAACCACAGCCCTGGCTGTTGCAGCTAACCCCGCACATAGCACATAACTGCTATTGTGTTAGGGCACACAGCAGGCTCTTTATAGACATTATGTTTATACCCGAGGCTTGGTCGCCATTTTACGGAAATGGCCATAGAGGCTCAGGAAGGCAGTTGTCCTGCACCAGAGCTGAGCTGGTTGTGTGAGGAAGGAGATTCCTCCCTGGGCTGCTCTTCCAGACCTGATGGTCGCAGCCACCGCTGCCCAGCCCGGTGCCTCATCCGGCTGCTCTGATCGGAGGGACAGGGGAAAGGGGACACATCTGCTGCTACCCCAGCGGTGAGGACTCTGGGAAACAGAAGAGTCCTGGCTGAGGATCCACATTTTCTTCCCTGGGAGAAGGGCAGGAGAGTGCGTGGCCACCCGCAGCAACCACCGTCCTGGCCCCACAGAACCTCACCCCGTCCCTGAAACACTTGCCCAGTCCTTAGCTCTCCTCAGAATATGTCTGTCCTCATTCCCTCACTTGATGTCACACTTCTTCATGGCAGCAGCAAGCACCAGAGAGCCTCCCAGCTTTAGGTCCCACTAAAGTGGGTCCATCGTGGTCCCTCTCCTCTGCCTTGGCCTCTGGAAGATGGGATCCCTATCAGAGAGCCTCTCTCCAGGGCCACGCCCTCTGTAGATCCAAGGATGACCACAGAGTCTGGAACCTGGGGGGTTATTCATACCCCACGCGGCCACTCCACACCCCCAATACACACACACTCACCATGAGATGCTGGAAGAGCCAAGAACGCATTATATTGGTGGCATGCTTGGGCAAGACTCCTCGTTTGTTCTTGGACTTCTTATCCTCATTGTCCAGGAGGGAGGTGAGGTCAAGGTTAACCTTCAGGGCACGTGGAGAAAAAATCAGCATCAGCAGCCTGGCGGGCCAGCAGCTAGGGACCCGTTGCCATAGTGACGGCAGGCTCTTGCTGCCAACCCCCTTTTCCAGCTCATTCGTAGGGCCCTGGGGAGGTCACCCTTCCTTTTACTCTGCACCAGCCCCTCAGAGAATGGGAGACAGGGAGAAGGAGAAGAAGGAGGAAGAGGAGAAGGGGATGAGAGAGGACACAGAGGAAACAGGGACATGCAGAGGGTAGAGGAGAGACAAATTTACCAGAAACCATCCACTAGTTATTAGCATTTCTAGGTTAGTTTACGGTTTGCAAAGCACCTTCCTCTCCATTACCGTGGTTAGCACTCACAGCAGCCCTGGAAGTTGGTAGGGCTCTGGGCAGGTGGTGTTAATCCCCCCTCTGTGGATAAGAGCTCTGAGGCTCAGGGAGGTCAGGTGACTTATCCAAGATGACAGAATTAATGTCACATCTCAGGCCTGACTTCAGATCTTCTTCCTCCCTCAACCTGTGTGTGTGCTCTATCCCACTGAGCTACAGAGTTGCTCCGGCCAGAGACCAGGGATAGGAGGTGCAGAATCCTTTGACATAACCTTGAGGGGTAGGGAAATCCCAGGAGTTGATAAAGCCTTTCAGACCCCCAGCTTCCGATCTGTAAACTGGGGGTAATGATACCTCTTAGAGGAATAACGAGGATTAAGTGAGTCACTTGTGCAGAGGGCCTAGCAGAGAGAGAACAGTTATGGTTGTCCACCCCCCCCCGTGCACATGAGCACACGCCTGTGCACGCACACTCACCTGTGTATTCTGGATCTGGATGGCTCCCTGGGGGATTGCTTGGGTGACCACCTGACCCTGGGAGGTTACCATGGTAACTGGCTGGTATAAGGCTCCACCTGAGGAGACAACCAGTTTTTGGATCCCCTGCCATGGGGGTTGGTAGGAGTGAGGGCAAGCAGGATTTCCAACTCACTTGGCACTCCCATGTAAACACCTTCTATTCTGGAGGCACTCAAGCCCCTGTTGGGGAGTGATGGGGTGGGAACAGGGTGGGAACAGGGTCCAGAGAACAGAGCCTCTGGTGGGAAGTGTTTGGGGCAGGGACAACAGCTTTACTTGGTCTTTGAGAGACTCATGAGACTTTGACCCAAATTTGTTCCAAAATACCACGATCAGGCCTTGGTGCTAGCCATCTATAAACTTACAGAACACTTTAGTCAAGAAATTGAACTGGAAGCCCCTCCTTGGCAGGGGGCACCCCTCCCATTTCCTAAGATTGTTTGTACGGTACCCTGCCCTCCCACCCCCTGGAATCCCCTTGGGGCCACCCCTTCTCCTCCCAGGGGTGTTCCCCATAATCCCCTGCACCGACCTGACACCACTTGTGAGTTGACGGTTGTCATGGCGATGTTGCCCTGCTGGAGCGCTGAGGCTGGGACCACAATCCCCTGGGGGTTATTGGAGACTCCAGACATGGAATTGGGGGAATTCTGCAGGAGGTCCTGGCAGTAAGGGAGGCGTGGTTTGTGACAATGTCACTAAATGCTTAGAAGCCACAGCCCCAAACTCCTCCTCTCCCTTTCTCCCTTCCTGTCTTCCTTCCTCCCTTTTTCCTGAGCCTCCCAGGACCCAAATCTGAAAGGCAATTCTCATGGCCTTCCAGAAGCAGTGAACAAAGTCTCAATATTAAAAACCAACCAACCAACCAACCAACCAACCAGCCAGCCAGCCAGCCAACCAACCAACCAACAATATTTATCCACTTAGCCATTCCATTCTTCTGAAACCTGAGACACAAATCATCTCATAAACCAGTGGTCCCCACTTCGGCTTCACTTCGGAATTTCCAATACTGATGCCTGGGTTCTAACCCCAGCGATTCTTCTAATTCCATTGGTTGGGGGTGTGGCCAGGGCTTTGGTGTTTTACAAGCTCCCTAAGTGGTTTTAACGTGTGGCCAGGGCCGAGAACCAGTCTTTATCTGCCTAGCACCTCTTCACGCTTCACACTGAAATGTCTCCAGATGCCTTCCCTGACACCCTCTCCCCCCGAGAACCTCACTTCCTCACGTACCTATATCACATTATTTATTACACCCAGCTCCACACAAAAGTGGCCTCCAACGTTCTATCTTTGTATCCTGAGCATCTAATTCAGGTGCCTGGCATACAGTGGCCACTAAAATCGCTGTTCAATAATAATACAAAAACATCCACCCTAGCCTCTTTACAACCTGCCTTCTAAGGGCATGTCATAGGAGCCTCGACCTCAAGCCACCCTTTGGCACATTTCATCTATTCTTTCCTTTTCCCCAGGCTGCCAACACAGAATCCCACTGCAGACAGAGTCCTCCTTTGCCCCACACTGTCAACCAGCCAGCCCCTGTTTTCCCCAGGAAACAATCCTTGCAGTTTGTTTTTGCAGCAGTCAAAGCAGATAAGAAGAGCATTTTTTCCTAGCAATCTGGTCCCCTCGTTATTGCCATGTCACAGCTGGGCCAGGAAGTGCTTGGGCCTGATATGAAGGGACTCTGCATACCATGCACAAGGGGAGGGAGCTTGGTCGCAGCCTCCAAGAAACATCAGTAAACTCTCCCTGCCTGGGGGTTCAGCGCTTGCTCGGGGCGGGGAGAAATTGTGGGGAAGGAATTGGGTGTGCGAGAGGTTGGGGTCTCTAGGCTTTATTTGGAGAAAGCAAGAACGGTGGCGAATGAGGTGCCATGGAAGGAGCTCTGGGAGACTGGCCTGGGTCCCTGAGCGCCTCCGACCACAGTGCCTCATCTGAAAACAGGGCTTGAACCAAGTAACCTGTCTGATGACCATCTAGGGCTGACGCTCTCATGAACACAGCTTGGCGTCATAATGCATGAGCTGTAAGAATTTAGACAGGTAAACAGTCAAGAAAATAGACCACCACTGACTTTCGTTTTAGGACTGGGAGAGAAGCTTGGGCTTTCAGCCTCCAGGGAAGGTCTAGAGTTTCTTGGAGCCAAACTCTTGGTCTTCCCACTCAAGCGGTTCAAGTCTAATATTGAGGCCCCCCTTCCGAAGCCTAAAAACTGGAAGAGCCCTTAAAAGCCACATATTCCAACTCCCTGAGCACAAACAAGGAACTGAGGCTTCTTAGAAACCCAAGTGACTCACCCAAGGCCCCCAGCTGGTTCGCAGCAATGGGACTAGAACACAGCCCTCCTTCATCCACAAATACTGAACACCCACCTTGTGCCAAGAACCGGGCTACGAGGTGCTCCTGGAATCACAGGGGTTCAGTACATAGTTACTGCAGGCAAGGTGAACAGGTGAAACAATCAAACCCCAGAAGTACAGAGGAAAGACCAGAGACTTGGGAATCAGCAAATCCCGGCCCTTCTGGGAGCCTCAGTCTCATTTATAACATGTGTCTGGCCCAGTGCTGACATCCAGGAGCCCTCAAAGCCTGTTTTTCAGCTCTGTGTCCATCTAACATTGACCCTGCCCCCGTCCCGACATCCCCGCCAACCATTCTCACAGGACATACACCAATGCTGGTGTTATTTGAAGCTGAAGCAAAAGCTGGACGGTAAATGTAATAGAAGAGGGTGTCGTCCCTCCATGCGTTTCACCCTAAAACTAATGGAAATGACTTTTCACTAATCTCTCGTCTGGAATCATTCATGCCATGGTACTCCTCATTGGGGAAAGGCATTTGGGAATTTCAAACATAAAATGTTGCCCCAGACTTGCCTTTTCCCTGAAAAAAAGTATCCAGCAAGGTTAGGAAAACACAAGCGAAATCAGTAAAATAAATACAAGATGTGGGCCTTGGGATTCAACCAACACACATTTTCGCCAGCCAGAGGCAGAAGGGTGAGCTATCGCCTGGATACTTCATCTGCTTATTCACACTCTGGCTGGTTCTCTGCCCTGTGGTCTTGCTGGCCTCCATGCCAGGTTCTGGGTTTGGGTAACTAAAGGCAATTTATGCATTAGATCAGACTCTTCTCTTTCCTACCTTCTCCTACTCTGGGGTCGTTGGCTGGGACATGCCGAGAGGCAGCCAAGTTATATCAGCAAAGGAATGGAGTATTGAAGTTCACGGGCAGAGACCACGGGCAGAGCTAGGGCTAGTCCCATCTTAGCTGGGCAAAAAAGCGGAAGGAAAGTCTGGGCCTCCCTGAGGTCTGGGGAAATAATATCCATCCCCTACATTTGTAAATATGAGCTGTTTCACGCACCGGCCTGAGTCCTGCCGTGTTTCCAGAGACAGAGTCTCAGGGTCATTGAACCAGACCCTCTGTGATCTGTATTTGTAAAAACCGCCCTCGGCTGGTTCCAAAGACCAATGGCTCTGAAACTACCTATTTATTACACACATCGAATATTAGCATTCTTTTACCATGCTATTTCATTTTATTTTATTTTATTTTTTTATTTTTTATTTATTTATTTTTTAAAGATTTTATTTATTTATTTGAGACAGAGAGAATGAGAGACAGAGAGCATGAGAGGGAGGAGGGTCAGAGGGAGAAGCAGACTCCCAGCCGAGCAGGGAGCCCGATGCGGGACTCGATCCCGGGACTCCAGGATCATGACCTGAGCCGAAGGCAGTCGCTTAACCAACTGAGCCACCCAGGCGCCCCCATGCTATTTCATTTTAATCTCCTCACTACTATGGGAGAAATGATTTTATTTGCCTGAAGAGGAACTGAGGTCCAGAGAACCAAAGTGACTTCCTGGAGTCACACAGCTGTGCCTTGAACCCAGGTCCTTTGGCTCTGAGCGCAGTGCTGATGCTCGCTTGGAGAGATGTGCTTTGGAGTCAGACATCCCGGCTCCACGTAAGCAGGGAGCCTGGCACATGTAAGCACCCAATAAATCACTTTCCACTTCCTTTGGCTAAAGCCACTCAATGAGGGAGCTGAGTTTTGCACAGCCAGGATTTAAAAACCTGTCCTAGAAGGTCCTAGAGCCGTTTGGGTTCTTTACTTAGCAGCAGTGGAGATTCAGCTGGGACTGCACACCGAGCCGCGGTGGTCAGTCCTCACCTCGCGCCCCCTTCATTCCTGCTTCCTCTCCGAAGACATTCCCGGGCCCCGGCCAAGCCCCGCAAGTGGGAGCTGCGACCCTGTCTTGAATGAGCTCTGTGACCTGACTGCAGCCATTTCAGGGGTAGCGGTGGGTCGAGCTCTCTTGAGCCTTTGTCTCTACAGAGACGATGGGCTCTGAATCTCTGGGAACAGTCTATGGCTTTTCTGAGGAAGGAGCTACCTTGGCAGCAGTGGAAGCCCCTTGGGGAGAAAATGTTGGCTAAGCACACAGTATTTTTATCTTCTTGACAGCTTCCTCTTGGGGCTTATCAGACTCCCAAGCAGGTGGATGATGCTCTGTCTAGACCCAAACAGAGCTGTTTCCTTCCAGGCTCCTTAGCGCCCATAAAGAGGTGAGAAGCACATGTAAACAGGTTTTAGCGACATTCTTCAGCATTCAGAGTCTCACATCCCTGCCCCAATTGTCCAGGAACCAGGGGCTCAGAGCTGGTTATCTAGCTCAAGAACTCTGCCTTGTCCCACCAGGAATGGCCGTGGCGTCCCCAAGCCTCTGAAAACTGCTGGAAGCCTGGCTTCCCTGGTGGAGCCATCCCACCAAACTGGGGTGTGTGTGGGCTCCTACTTTCTAGTAGTAAGATTTGCTTTCCCAGTAGGACAAGGTCCTAAAGCTGAAAACTTCCCTAGAGTTTCCTGGGAATGACATCTCCGGGCCTGGACCAAGGGACCCAGGACTTGGATGGAAACCCACAAGCTGGGCTCCACAGGCCTCCCCAGACGCTGTCCCACTGACGATCCTTGTGTGCTGTTTTTCTGAGACACAGAGAGGCAGAGAGCCTCTCTGAAGTGGGCAGAGCAAGGTAGGGGAGCAGCTTTAGAACGGCTGAGAGCTCGCACCTCCTAAACCCCGTGGACCAGCTGCAAAGCCTTCACTGCCTCGCGCCATCGGCCATGGTGGTCACTGGGTGAGTTTTACTCCAAATCTCATTTTGGAACAACAATAACAAAAAAGATGATTTGTTCAGAAGGAAGGCCTTCCTAAGGACAAGTGAAAGGTTCTGGGATCGCGCTTGGAAGCGGAGGGTGCTCGGGTGGGGGGTGTGTGCCACGAAGGAACGGACTATGGCTATGAGCTCTGACCTCATGGTCTGATGTCAGCCCGGGAGGAGCCGGCTCAGTCCCTGGAGCCACCAGTCTTCACTGGTAATCGGGACAGGGCTTCTGTTGCCCAGGGAAATGAATTTCCACCAAAGGAAGAAATTCCCGGAATAAACTGATGGGAGGAAGAAAGGAAGGAGTGAAGGCGAAGATGGATAGAAAAATTTTCCTTTAAGTTATTTTGAAATAGCCGGAATGTTTATTTTACTAGGATGCCTGTGGAACAAGGGACATGAACTAGATGACACTGCAACGGTCCTTCCGACTGACGATTTTAGAAAAACCAATGCCATTCCCTAGGATCTATTGTGTGTGTGTGTG